TTTTATTTTGATTATGTATGCTGTGCTTTTATATTGTGATTTTATCCTGTGAACTGCCCTGATACATGTATAGGGCATAATGCAAATTTAATAATTAAATAAACATGGTGCACTAGTGAAAGGCACCACTAGTGCAACAGAGCTTTCAACACTCTCTTCTCTCTGTGCTTCCCCCCAAACTGCCCCAAATATGATCTGGAAGGTCAGGAGGACCCCCAGAACAGCACAGGGTGGTGGTAAAGGAGAACTAGGATTGTTCCATCTGGCAAGTAGGAATGTTTGCATGGACAGAATGATCAGAAAAGATAAATATGGAAATTATCACTGAAAAGTGCAATTTTTTTTCATGCAGTTTATTTTTTATTTAAACACTTCTGTTTGGTTGAACCAAAGGTGAAGATGTTCTCTGGAAGGCCTGCAGGTGCCATCTTGGCAGTTAAGATAGGTAAGGTAAAGGGACCCCTGACCATTAGGTTCAGTCGCAGATGACTCTGGGGTTGCGGCGCTCATCTCGCTTTACTGGCCGAGGGAGCTGGTGTACAGCTTCCGGGTCATGTGGCCAGCATGACTAAGCCGCTTCAGGCGAACCAGAGCAGCGCACGGAAACGCTGTTTACCTTCCCACTGGAGCGGTACCTGTTTATCTACAGTGGTACCTCGGGTTAAGTACTTAATTTGTTCTGGAGGTCTGTTCTTAACCTGAAACTGTTCTTAACCTGAAGCACCACTTTAGCTAATGGGACCTCCCGCTGTTGCCGTGCTGCCGGAGAACAATTTCTGTTCTCATCCTGAAGCAAAGTTCTTAACCCGACGTACTATTTCTGGGTTAGCAGAGTCTGTAACCTGAAGCGTATGTATCCCGAGGTGCCACTGTACTTGCACTTTGATGTGCTTTCCAACTGCTAGGTTGGCAGGAGCTGGGACCAAGCAACGGGAGCTCACCCCGTCGCGGGGAATCAAACCGCTAACCTTCTGATCGGCACATCCTAGGCTCTGTGGTTTAACCCAACAGTGCCACCCGCGTCCCTGTCAAGATAACCCAGAACTAATTGGCAGTTGTGGGACTGACCTCATATGTTTATGTATTCACTCCCTTTGATATATGCTAATTGGCTTGCTTTTATGCTCTGCTTATCTGTGGACCTTGGGATGCTGGGCTCCAATAATAATAATAATAATAATAATAATAATAATAATAATAATTTATTTATACCCCGCCCATCTGGCTGGGTTTCCCCAGCCACTCTAGCCACTCTCCCAGAGAGGGGAGAAGTTTTGGACAATTGCCACCTATGGCCTTGCTGGCCAGGTGTGAAGGGAGGTTCTAGGTAAACTGCTGTATGCGGCTTTGTGCATAAAGAATGTATAACCATTTTCTTGGCAAGCCACCTCTTTGTTGTGGTGTCCGACCCACATCTGGAAAGGCTGGGAGACCTGGCAGGTTGACTTGTTCTAAGTCTACACCTTTCTTTTAATAAAGCACTAGAACTGATTACTCTAGAATCATAGAATTGTGGAGTGGGACCCCAAGGGTCATCGAGTCCAACCCCTGCAATGCAGGAATCTCAACCAAAGCATCCCTGACAGATGGCCACCCAACTTCTGCTTAAAAACCTCCAAGGAAGGAGAGTCCACCACTTTCCAAGGGAGACCACTCCACTGTTGAACAGCTCTTACTGTCAGAAAGTTCTTCCTGATGTTTAGTTGGAATCTTCTTTCTTGTAACTTGAAGCCATTGGTTTGAGTGCTACCCTTCAGAGCAGGAGAAAACAAGCTCTGGCATTTTTGACATCCCTCTTTGGTATCCCTGCGCCAACTACTCCTAAGAGTCCACATGGAAACAGAATAGAGCAATAAATTTTAAAAGTCTGGTACAGGGAGGTGTATTTCTAGTTAAATTATTATAATTATTTCATAGAATCATAGAATATTAGCATTGGAAGGGACCCAAGGGATCCCTTTGCAATGCAGGAATCTCTGCTAAAGCATCCACGACAGATGGCCATCCAACCTCTGCTTAAAAGCCTCTAAGGAAGGAGAGGCCACAACCTCCCGAGGGAGACCGTTCCAATGCAGAACAGCTCTTACAGTCTGAATGTTTTGCACATATTGATATAAATCATCTCACACAAATTTTTAGTATAAGTGTGGGGTGTTGAACTGTGTATTGTTCATCAAGTCCAGGCTGATGAGAGTTGTAATCCAAAACATTGTGAGGGCACCAGGTTGGTGGCAGCTGTTCTGCTGCAAAGCACCCAGAGATCTACCAGTTCATCTACCTCATCTATCTTCTGCCTGCCCTCAAATAAAGGGGCTTTCAATGTTGATTAAATAGGTGTAAGAGGGAGGATAGTTACTAGCCATAGAAAGATAAGAACTTAAGAAAAGCCTGCTTGATCAGTCCAAGGCCCAACTGGTGCAACGCCCTGTTTTCCCAGTGGCCAACCAGATACCCCTGTGGGAGTCTGCAAGCAGGACCAGGCTGAGATAGTGCTCTTCCTCTTTGAGGTTTCCAGCAACTGTTATTCAGAAGCATACTGCCTATGACAGTGGTGGTAAAACATAGCCATCAAGCATAGCCAATCATTTCAGCTATATGGTCAAATTTAAGCTGCTATGTTTTGCTCAACCTGAACAGCTCATGTTGGTAACAGCATAGTGCTGATAATGCCAAGGTTGCAGGTTCAATCCCCATATGGGACAGCTGCACATATCTGCATTGGGGGAATATGGGTTGGGGGTTGGATTAGATGATCCTCAAGGTCCCCTCCAACTCTTCAATTCTATGATTCTATGATCAGATTAAAATCCAAGAGGATGTATAAAAGACCTGCAGAGCATCTCATTCTGTTCCATGTTGTTTTTCTCCAATAGTTTTGGGAAAAGGAAGTTTCTGCATGAGTTCCCTTCTTGTTCCCCATCTGTAGCTTGCGTTAGGGGCAGAGGAAGGAAGAGAGGAATGTGGATGTATTGAAAATGAAGATAAGAAAGCTGTCACTGAATCAGCTATCATTTAATAATAAATGCTACTCAGTGTATAGCAACATTTTAATTTGGATGGGCAGCAAAACAATAAGCCCACACCTCAAGCATGTGCCTCAATATACATTGCAAGGTGCAGCTCTGCAAAGAGGATGTCTGGGCCTCCATGTTGCATCTGTCATGCTTTGGGCACGGATGACACTGCTGAGCATTTTAGCAAGGAGGATTTTGAGTGGGCAAACGTTTCAGCCCACAGTAGATGAGTTCATTTCCAAGGAGACATTTGCAGAAAAGTGTAAATTAATTGAGAACACAAGGTGATCCCTCAGTGCTCTTTCTCAGGAGATTGTAACAAAGACCTTAAGCAGGGATAAGTGCGACCCCTGAACTGCTGGGGGAGCAAACTTCGAGTTTTGGGATGTAGGAATTGTAGCCAGGCGTCATTATATTGCAAGAGCCGGGGTTTCTCCCTTATTAGGATGAGGGTTACGGGAGGCTCTGGTTTTGCTGGTTTAAAGACCATAAAGCACCCTTTAGTCTCTCTCTCTTCCTGTCTGTACTGAGATTCCAAAATGCTTTGTTTCTTTTTCAACAAGAGATCCCCACAGCAGAATATCATGGAGCACTGCTTATCTCAAATGGGGCTCACACCTTTAAGCAGCTGGTGGATCCGAGATTTCAGGTGAGGTGGCAACATAAGCCAGACACCCAGGTCCCTTGAGATTATTCCCAGGACAGGCCCCATGTTCAGCCACATCCTCTTCCCAGGCCACGCCCTCCAGCCCTGCTTCGCACCTGGTTCTTTTGCCCGGCTGAGATACATCCTCCGATAACGACTCTTACTTTGCTTGGGGAATGGAAAAGTGTGTGTGTGTAAAGTAGCCTACCTGCACAAAAGCAAGTGTTACATATATTGCTCCACCCACTTAATGCTCTGGCCTCACCCACCCTTGGCATGTGGCCCCCGACAGGGAATGTGCCCCCCGAGTTGAATCAGGTTCTGCACCCCTGAATTATGGATAAACATGGGCCTGCAGAGGTGTAGCCCCATGAATTGTTTGGAGTCTTCTACAGGCTGTGCCTCTTTGCAGTTGACTTGAACTCCAGTAGGTTTCTGAGAGGGTTAAAGGGTGCCTGTCCCAATCCTGTCCTTCTGTATGAAAACTGCCAGTTACTCGAACTCTGTGCTTCCTTCACTTTAACCATCCAGGAGCCTCAAGGGAACCGTGTTCTCCAAATGCTAATGTTTGGAGGGGTATGTGCTACATTTATAGCAGGCTCAGCTGTGGAGCAAGGTCTCCTCTGTGGTGACCTCCAGGTGGAACTGTTAATTCAAGCAAAAGTCCCACAGTCCTAAGTTGAGACCCTTCAGAGAGGAGTATGTGACCAGGGCCACCCCAAAACACTTTGCTGCATGAAAAGGACAAGAAGGTGTCCTAACCCTATGCCCATTCCACCCGTAGATGTTAGTTCAACACCAGCAATGGTGTTGGCTTAGGGGCCACAGGGCAGGCTGTGTGCAGCACACACCCTCTTAACACTTTGGTGCTGCTCCCCAGCATCGGCTGCCTGAGGCAACCACCTCATTCTGTCCAATGGCAGGGCCAGCTTTCTGTACGTTCCTTTTAAAGTAAACTCTGGTATAAAGGTGACAAATTTCTGTTTTTGTCTTCTACCTATTCTATATTCTTCCCCGAATATTTGGAACCTAAAGAAAAGTTATTCAATTTATTCACCATTCTTGTGTTGCAGTTTTGTGTTGTTCATTTCCTTAGTTTTATTCAGAGAAAGGTGGGAATCAATTACAGTGGTACCTCAGGTTAAGAACTTAATTCGTTCTGGAGGTCTGTTCTTAACCTGAAGCACCACTTTAGCTAATGGGGCCTCCTGCTGCCGCCGGAGCACGATTTCTGTTCTCATCCTGAAGCAAAGTTCTTAACCTGAGGTACTATATCTGGGTTAGCAGAGTCTGTAACCTGAAGTGTCTGTAACCCGAGGTACCACTGTACTGAAAAGTAAACAGGTTTTCAAAAGAGCCCCTTCTTCTTGGTTGTAGGTATGTGTGTGTGTTATTTTTTTGTTTAATTTGCTGCCTGGTTATGAAGAAGCCAGTGCTAGAAAGCTTTGGGAAAAGTGGGTTGAAGCAACAGGTCAGTCAATTAACCTGATTTGAAGAGTCGGTTCAAAATAGGCTTCAGCAAACGAGAAACAGAACATCCCAGCGGTTTAATGGAGCCCCCACCTTGACTTGATCTCATCTAATTTTTATACTTAAGGACAAAGTAGGACAGTTTCCCCTTTGGCAGGGACACAATTAAGTGCATAGCTAGAAACATAAACTAAAAATTCCCTAATCTCAATATCACCTAAGTCCCAACACACTCATTACTTCCAGATCTGCAAGTTGGGGATGTTGCCTTTAAAAAAGAAAAAAAAGTTTAAGTGGCACAGGGAAACCTGAGAAGCAAATCAACTGCCCTGCATGAATATGAAGAGCCTGGTGGCTCAGGCCATTGGCCCTCCTAGTCCAGCATCCTGTTCTCACAATGGACAACCAGATGCCCATGGTGGGAAAGCTGTAAACAGGATCTGCACACAAACGCCCCCCCCCCCCGTGGTTCTAGCCGTAGTGTGTGGTCCATGGATTGGTGGGAGTACCCTAGTCCCCTTCATGTTCCCAGCAATACCTTTCTGGGTACCTGCTTAGCCAGTGTCTCCAGGCTCCATGTATGTGTGTGCATGCCTCTCTCTCTCTCTCTCAGGGTTGCAGAACAATACACACACTTGAGAAGGAAGTGGCCACTTGAAACAGAACTGCAGCCCTTTCTCCTTCATTTTTTAAGGAAGAGCAGTTGGAAAGCCTGAAGTGCCCGTGGGGTCGGAAGACAAGATCCCTGCAACCTTCATAACTCACTTCCTCCCTCCTCTCCTTCAGCCACTGTGTGTGTGCACACGCATGCAAATGTGTTTGAAAGCGTGGTGTTTTAATAAAATACCCCCCCTCCCAGCCCCAATCTGCCAGAACCTGAAGGATCAGCAGCAACATGCAACAACCAACACCACCACAATCATAGAAAGGGAGATGATGAAGAAATGGTGTGTGTGTGTTAAAAATGGTGGTTTTTCTGGTGGGGGGGGGGATCCACCCTTTTGCCTGGGGCATTTTTTTAAAAAAAAGAGCAGAGCCAAACTTTGCAAGCTGCTAGGACCTGGCAAATTGACTGGCCGGGGAATGGACTTCCTTGGGAGATTTTTTAGGCATCTGTCAGGGAAGCTTGAGTGGAGATTCCTGCCTTGCAGGCAGTTAAACTAGATGGCTCTAACTGTTCCCCTATGAAAAAATTCACCGCACGCCACTGGGTTCTAGCAACTGGTATTCAGAAGCACTGCTGCCTTGGCAGCAGAGCAGAGCCATCATGGCTAATGAACAGTGATAACCTTATCTTCAATGTTGAAAGACCAGGAGATGAAAGCGACATAAGCTCCCTTGGACCTATTCTTAAATGGAATGGACTGAGGCCTGGCTAACACTGGTGTGTCAAGGAAACCAGAGAGATGGCTCATATAATAGCACAAGGGTGGTCAACATGGTCTCTCCAGCTGTGGTTGGACTACAACCCCCACCATACCTGGCCATTGGTCATGTTGGCTGGGGCTGATGGGAGCTGGAGCCTAACAACTAGAGGACTACCCCTGTAAGCGTGCACCCCCCCCAGCAAGCTTTTGCCTGACCAGCTCCTCTTACGCTTCTGTTTACATGACTGACAGAGACCGACTTCAAGGGGAAATGTGTTTTCCAGTTTATAAGCAGCTGCATGCAGCACTGATTGGCTGGCCTTCTGTCAATCACAAATTTTGTGATTTTTCATGTATACCTATTTAGATTACCAAATAGGCAGTGGAAGCACCAGTTTATGGGCCCCACACCTTTTAGGGGCGCCACCACAACAGATCAAAATAATATTGATCCTCAAAGATCAAATAAAAAATATATTAGGAGATAATCTGTGAGAGTCCCCCTGAGATTTCAACTGCCTAGGGGCCTCTACAGGGTTTAATCTGGCACTAAGGGAAGTGGGTGGCGCTGTGGTCTAAACCACTGAGCCTCCTGCGCCTGCCGATCAGAAGTTCAGTAGTTCGAATCCATGCAACAGGGTGAGCTTCCATTGCTCTGTCCCAGCTCCTGCCAACCTAGCAGTTCGAAAGCACGTCAGTGCAAGTAGATAAATAGGTACTGCTGCAGCGGGAAGGTAAACGGCATTTCTTTGGACTCTGATTTCCGTCACGGTGTTCCATCGCACCAGAAACGGTTTAGTCATGCTGGCCACATAACCTGGAAAGCTGTCTGTGGACAAACGCTGGCTCCCTTGGACTGAAACCAGAGATGAGTGTCACACCCCAGAGTCAAATTCAACTGGACTTAACTGTCTGGGGGTCCTACACCTTTACCTTATCCGGCACTGGAACTGAATACATGTCTTTACATCTATGGAGCACTCAACATGCATTTGGCTAAATGCAAAAAACAGCAATTGGATAGCCATTTACCAGTTGCTCCTAAGAATGGGGGAGTGACTATATTTAGCTTCCCAAAATTCAGTGCATAAGAGAAGCCACTTACACAGTGTCCTGGAAAGTTGTGGTGTTCTTTTTTGAAAAAATAATAATTCTGAAATATAAATGCCTTGCATGTGTTAGTAATTCCTGTACAACAAGCCTCAAGGGGTGTACCAGCTGAAGGTTCCAAAATATTGAAGGCATTACACACACCCCCATATAATAAATGTATACCATCATATGCATCATGGATTTAGAACACCAATTTGAGTTCTTGTTTGACCACAATTTCTCCACATCATAGAACTTTTCTGAGGTTGCAACTAATCAACCAGAGACTTAAAAAGTAAACTCCTCTATTTATTAAATGTGTTGATATGGGTTCATTAAAAAACATAAAGAGAGTTTTATAAACTTTATTAAAAGATCCAAAAAATAAAATAAAATAAACATAACAATATAGAAGTAACATAGTAAAATGAGTTGCATTATGCACATCTCTAGAAAGCACAAACAAGCACTACAGCAATATAACTGTGGCAAAAAAGGAAAAGATATTCAAAGCGTACACCCTGTTGATAGCAGCTGAAGGGGTGACTTGTTGCCAGCTTGCTACGGATATATCAGAACAATCTGAATCCGCATCACAGAGGACCCAGGAACCTAAATGCTTTGGCTGGCAGCCAGTTCTATGGGTTTCCATAAAGCTCGCTTCCATTTAAGTGTATGCAAGGCTGTCGCCAGGCATTCAAGCCAGCACCCGCTAGTTTGAATAGTGGCTATGCCTTCCCACGGAAAGCTATGGGAAGGAAAATCTAGACATGCACATACCTCAAGAGTGCCGGCAGCATGTCATTTTTAAACCCCATTATACTCTGACTACATTTCCCCTCTAAAAAAAAAAAAATCAAACCCACTTCTTTGAATATATTCCTTGCAGTAGAATTTTAAAATGTCTGAATAGCTTACTTTACATAACATCCAATAATATATAAACAAAAAATAGGTACATGCTCTTCTGGATGTTACTTTTTCATTATCTGGAGTTTTGGGATCAGAACCTCACATTTCCCTTGTGTGGAAGTTTAAATCAAACTGAAATCAGGCGAAAGTCTTTGGGGTTTCCTCCTTCACAGATTTCTGCTGCTGCCAAAGGGCTGTTTTGTGTCAGAATTCAAATTTCAGTCTGAAAAATCAGGGGTTTTGTTTCTGAAAACCTGATTTGGAACACAAGAAAGCAACTCTTGAAATTTTCACTTTCTAAAAAACAGCAACAAGGCCTCAATATTTTAATCTTCTACTTCTGAGTTTTGGGATTTTAATTGGCTTCTGAATTTTGGTAGAATTTTATTTCTCTGGGTGAACAATTTTATGGCTGCAAACTTGGCACCTCTTGAGGTTTGTGAATTTAAAGGTGGTGGTGACCCCCCCACCCCTGCCATCATTTGATGAATGGCAATGTCATCCCCTCAGCTGCTAGGATACTAGAGCCATGGCAACAAAAATCGTTTGGCTTCCACCACTATCAAATAGCATCTGTGTACAGTAATAAAGATCTGGAACCTTGAAATTCTGTGTCAGGTAATTTCCCTCTGTTGTGTGTTTGGAAAAAGACCACTTGGTTGTCATTGTTTCAGTTGTTGTGTTGTTGGCTGGCTGTTTGGTTTTGGGGAGGCATGTGCCTTTCTGAATGTGAAGGTCACTAGCAAAAGGTTTTGTTTGGGGTGCCTGCCATGACACCCCTGGGCTGTTCTGCCATCCCCATCCTGAAGCAGTTCAATTTTAGAAGATCCCTCCCCCCTTCAATGCAACAAATAGAGACTTTCTAAGGCTGCCCCACATTAGCTCTTTATCAATATGCTTCTTAAGGTCTTTGCATAGGAGTAGCTTTGCCTGGGACGTGTGTGAACACAGGACAATTCTCCCCATGCTCCCTGAATCTTATGTAAGAGGGGAAATCAAGCTGCCCCCCCCCCCCACAGTAGGATGTCACTTCCTTGATACTGGAATTTATCAAAGATAAATGCCTCCTTTCTTATAAGACCTTGCTGAGATGCATGTTCTCTTTCCATGCATCTACGTCATGTGCAAAGCTGCCCTTAGTGCTTTGGGCCATGGGGTGCACAGTTCGACACTGTGAGCCTCTCCCCCAACATGGGTGTTTTAATCCATACTCAATGCCTTGTGGGACATCTTTGGGAGAAGAGAATACTAAGGAGTGAATCCTACACAAATCCAGAGTGGTGTCCCTAAGATGGTTGGGTGGTGCCTGGTACACCTCCTTCTGGCAACTCCTGCAGCCAAGCAGGTGCCAAATGTATTGCTCTGCTTTCGTTTGGACCATATCAGTGAGGTCAAGAGGGAGGGGTCTTGCTGTCTGGGCAGACGAGAACCTTCACATACATTGCCCAGACTTGCGCCCCGAGGTGGTCACTTAGGTGCTGCTAATACAGCAACCAACGTCCCTCCCCGAAGGTGCACTCTTCCATTGTCTCTCAAGACAGATGAGGGTCAACTAACCACCCAGGCTGCGGGGGCATGTGTATCCTGAAGTGGGGCCCCTAGCAGTGAAGACGTGGCCCTAATGCCTATAGCGCCGGGCCTCAGTTTCCACTGCGAGCCTGGCCGATGAAGCTGTGCTTCAAGGGCACCACCTACGCTGCAGTACCAGCCTGCCTGAGCATTCTGTCTGTTGATCCATAAGCACCAATCCCTGTCTACCAGGACCTATAAAATCTTTGCCTTGAGCTTGTTCCCCTCCTGAACAACTGCCTGCACCTCATGCTTCCATAGTGGGAAGACAGGCCCACCTCTTACATGGCAGAAACAAAGGCCTTGTTCACATGCCACCCTTTTAAGACATGGCTTTGTGAACAGCATTACCCAAATTACAGGCATTTTACTCTGTTAACTAGCGTTGGGACAACTTTACCTACTTTACTCTATACGCTGCCAGCCTGACACTTGGGGTTAAGAGGGTATGCAGAAAGCCAATTGCCAATGCAGCCCAAGTGAAGACGTGGCTGTCTCTAGTACACTACCCACTTATGCAAGAGAGAAGAATTTATACCACAGAACCACCACTCGGAAATCCAGGGGGACAAGGGAGAGGTGGAATACTCCTCACTGTGGATGCTACATCTATCAAGTTCTTCATGTGGTTGGGCATGAGCCTCAGCAAGGCAGCCCTTGGAAAAGTCACTGTGAAATCTACACTATCCAAGATTCCTAATGTAGCTTCCCCTACCAAAATCTCCCCGCTGCCAGTGGGATGATAGAAAATTAGGATTCAAATTTTTGGTAGTACAAGCAAAGCTCTCTGAGGAAGGGATGAAGGGTTTGGGCCTCAAGATAGTTGGATGAATAGCATGAGGATTGCCCAGTTATTTGCCTGAACATACTGGGTTGTATCCATTGTTCGTTCTCATCCAAGTAGGTCCACCAATTTCAGTGGGTCGACTCAGAGTAGAACACTGTTGAAGACAATCTTTTATATGTAGGCAGGCCCACCTCCCACAATGTTGCATCGTCAGTCTCCAACTTTCCTTGCAAATGCCTGAGCGTGCCCTACTATTCCTGAATCCACAAAGATCCTCCAAGGAAAACTGCAGGTATCCTTAATACATGCCAAAGTTCTAATATAATCCATAAACAGACGCCTGTGTTGCAATATAGACAAGCTGAACAAAATAGCACAACACGATGGCCAATAACAATGGCACTAAACACTTTATAAACTAATACAAATGATCAGAAACTGCAACTAAAGTCTCTAAATCTTCACCAGTCACGGTAGAATAATTCAAAAGTTTGATATGTACATAATCTGTCACCAAATATTGCCAGAACAGAGTTTCCGGATAACCAATCTGTTCCTTCCAATGCTTCATCAACCAATCTTGATCAATTCTTCATCAGACAGACTTGTAAGAATTAATGTGAGAAGGGTGCAGTTCAATTCAGCTGGTTAAGAAATTGAACGAAACAGATTGGTTTAGAGACTTTGGTTGCAATTTCTGATCATTTGTATTAGTTTATAAAGTGTTTAATGCCATTGTTATTGGCCATCATGTTGTGCTATTTTGTTAAGTTCTAATATAGCCAGGTGGGTGAGGAGATAGAATTACTTTTTTAAATATCTGGAGAGTCAGAGTGTGGAGGAGACAACAGGTCAACCTATGGCTACTGGCCATGGTGGCTACATGGCATCTCTGTTTAGAGTCTGTGTACAGCTGTGGACAATGGGCGAAGGGGGCTGTTCAACTTATGCCCTTCTGGTGGGGAGGCTGTGTAGGCTAGCTGGCCCTTTGGTCTGATTCAGCTCTTCTCATACCCAGTTTGTGCGGGTGACAAACCATTTAAAAACCTTTGCTGGTGACCTTTACTTTTAGATTAAGTGTTGTTTCCTATTGTGTGTGTGTTTTTCTTATTTTCTTTCAGAGCTGCAGGTTGGAAATGAGCCGGTCTCAGT